GATTAAGAAAAGAAGAAAAGAAGAATTGAAAAGTTATCAGTATTGACCGTTTTGAGGAAAAATCAATGGTAAAGTGTTCTATTCTGCTATAATAACTGCTATAATAAAACATGAGTAATAGTTGTCAGCAAAGTGAATCATAACAGAACAACTATTGTTAGCCACCCAAATGAATCCAAGAAACAGTAAAAGGTAGGCAGAAGAGAGAAAATGTAAATGCAAAAATTTTGTGACAAAATTAAGTTGAAAACTAAATATAGATAGGAGAAGTATGGTTGAAGAAGAAGATACAAGCAGCTTGTTAAGGTAACCCGGAAAACAAAAAAAAAAAAGATGACTGCTTCCGCGTGTACATAAACTAGTCGCTTAACCTTCAACAGGGACATTGATGATGATGCTGATGATGCTGGTGATGATGATGATGATGATGATGATGATGATGATGAAACTGTTAGAAGCGTAGGAAGGGTTGGAAAAAAAAAAAAGCTGATGACGACGAAAATATTTGGTCAACTTTTTATGGAAGAAAAAGGTGGAAGACGTGAACAAGGACGGAGGAAATAGAAAAGGACAATGATACTTACTATACCCGGTTAAAAAGTTGATAGAAAACGATAGATTGATGTTGTCATTTTCTGGGTTGTTTTTGTTGTTGCCGTTGTATGGCAGATCAACGATTACAGATTTGTTTATGTATCATTTTTTTTGACACCTTAGACGACATTGAGTAAACAGAACGATGCAAAAACACAGACACACACACACACACACACACACACACAGAGATATAAACACAGAAACTTTTATCAGTAATGAATGAACAAAATGATTAGCTTTTGAACAACTTTTTATGCTATAAAATATTTTAAAGTTTTGACTGCTTAAAAGCTAACAGAAAATAAATTTATTAGTAAGCAGAAAAAAAAAAAAAAAGGAAAAGAAAAAACCTATTATCATTGGTTTTTGTGCATCTTTTTGATCTGTTCAAAAAACACAAGTCTTTTTTTTTCCTTCATCAGTCGACTAATCTAAAATACACTAATTGCTGTTATTTCAAGTAAAATAGGTATTTGTTGAACTAAACTTACCTTTCACTTGAAACACTCCCGTCGATAAGTCATAAAGATTTAGGCGGATTTCTGCCGTTTGTCTTCCTTTTTAAAGCTTCTTTTTGTTTACATATTATATACATTTTTTTCTCACTTTTTTTTTTTCAGCAATTTCTTTAATCAATCAAGAAGCGTACATTCTTTGTATTCCACCAACTAACTGAATTATTCAATGTGATAATAATCGCTAATGATCCTGTTGATAGATCAATTCCTTGTACAAAATCATTTGACAACTTATGTAACCAAAACAATTAGATGAGTAGCCTTCCTCTCCATCTTCCATTTTTCTTCATCTCAGTTCATTTTTTTTTCTTTTTTTTTTTTTT